GTGTTTTATCAGCCCTATAGGTGGGAGGAAATGAGTTTTATCAGCCCTATAGATGGCAATATATGTGTTTTGTCAGCCCTATAGGTGGGAATACACGTGTTTTATCAGCCCTATAGGTGGGAGGACATGAGTTTTATCAGCCCTATATGTGGGAATATATGTGTTTTGTCAGCCCTATAGGTGGGAATACATGTGTTTTGTCAGCCCTATAGGTGGGAGGACATGTGTTTTATCAGCCCTATAGGTGGGAATACACGTGTTTTATCAGCCCTATAGGTGGGAGGACATGAGTTTTATCAGCCCTATAGATGGCAATATATGTGTTTTGTCAGCCCTATAGGTGGGAATACACGTGTTTTATCAGCCCTATAGGTGGGAGGACATGAGTTTTATCAGCTCAATAGGTGGGAATACATGTGTTTTGTCAGCCCTATAGGTGGGAGGACATGAGTTTGATCAGCCCTATAGGTGGGAATACATGTGTTTTGTCAGCCCTATAGGTGGGAATACATGTGTTTTGTCAGCCCTATAGGTGGGAGGACATGAGTTTTATCAGCCCTATAGGTGGGAATACACGTGTTTTATCAGCCCTATAGGTGGGAGGACATGAGTTTTATCAGCCCTATAGATGGCAATATATGTGTTTTGTCAGCCCTATAGGTGGGAATACATGTGTTTTGTCAGCCCTATAGGTGGGAGGACATGTGTTTTATCAGCCCTATAGGTGGGAATACACGTGTTTTATCAGCCCTATAGGTGGGAGGACATGAGTTTTATCAGCCCTATAGATGGCAATATATGTGTTTTGTCAGCCCTATAGGTGGGAATATATGTTTTTTGTCAGCCCTATAGGTGGGAGGACCTGAGTTTTATCAGCTCAATAGGTGGGAATACATGTGTTTTGTCAGCCCTATAGGTGGGAGGACATGAGTTTGATCAGCCCTATAGGTGGGAATACATGTGTTTTGTCAGCCCTATAGGTGGGAATACATGTGTTTTGTCAGCCCTATAGGTGGGAGGACATGAGTTTTATCAGCCCTATAGGTGGGAGGACATGTTTTTTATCAGCCCTACAGGTGGGAATACATGTGTTTTGACAGCCCTACAGGTGGGAATACACGTGTTTTGTCAGCCCTACAGGTGGGAATACATGTGTTTTTTGTCAGCCCTATAGATGGGAGGACATGTGTTTTGTCAGCCCTATAGGTGGGAGGACATGAGTTGTATCAGCCCTATAGGTGGGAATACATGTGTTTTGTCAGCCCTATAGGTGGGAGGACATGAGTTGTATCAGCCCTATAGGTGGGAATACATGTGTTTTTGTCAGCCCTACAGGTGGGAATACATGTGTTTTGTCAGCCCTTTAGGTGGGAGGACATGTGTCTTATCAGCCCTATAGGTGTGAGGACATGTTTTTTATCAGCCCTTTAGGTGGGAGGACATGTGTTTTGTCAGCCCTATAGGTGTGAATACATGTGTTTTGTCAGCCCTATAGGTTGGAATACACGTGTTTTATCAGCCCTATAGGTGGGAGGACATGAGTTTTATCAGCCCTATATGTGGGAATATATGTGTTTTGTCAGCCCTATAGGTGGGAGGACATGTGTTTTGTCAGCCCTATCGGTGGGAATACATGTGTTTTATCAGCCCTGTAGGTGGGAATACACGTGTTTTATCAGCCCTATAGGTGGGAGGACATGAGTTTTATCAGCCCTATAGATGGCAATATATGTGTTTTGTAAGCCCTATAGGTGGGAATACACGTGTTTTATCAGCCCTATAGGTGGGAGGACATGAGTTTTATCAGCCCTATATGTGGGAATATATGTGTTTTGTCAGCCCTATAGGTGGGAGGACATGTGTTTTGTCAGCCCTATAGGTGGGAATACATGTGTTTTATCAGCCCTATAGGTGGGAGGACATGAGTTTTATCAGCCCTATAGGTGGGAATATATGTGTTTTGTCAGCCCTATAGGTGGGAGGACATGTGTTTTGTCAGCCCTATAGGTGGGAGGACATGAGTTTTATCAGCCCTATAGGTGGGAATATATGTGTTTTATCAGCCCTATAGGTGGGAGGACATGTGTTTTGTCAGCCCTATAGGTGGGAGGACATGAGTTTTATCAGCCCTATAGGTGGGAATACATGTGTTTTGTCAGCCCTATAGGTGGGAATACATGTGTTTTATCAGCCCTATAGGTGGGAGGACATGTTTTTTATCAGCCCTTTAGATGGGAGGACATGTGTTTTGTCAGCCCTACAGGTGGGAATACATGTGTTTTGTCAGCCCTACAGGTGGGAATACACGTGTTTTGTCAGCCCTACAGGTGGGAATACATGTGTTTTGTCAGCCCTATAACTGGGAGGACATGTGTTTTATCAGCCCTATAGGTGGGAGGACATGTGTTTTGTCAGCCCTATAGGTGGGAGGACCTGAGTTTTATCAGCTCAATAGGTGGGAATACATGTGTTTTGTCAGCCCTATAGGCGGGAATACATGTGTTTTGTCAGCCCTATAGGTGGGAGGACATGTGTTTTGCCAGCCCTATAGGTGGGAATACATGTGTTTTGTCAGCCCTATAGGTGGGAGGACATGAGTTTTATCAGCCCTATAGGTGGGAGGACATGTTTTTTATCAGCCCTATAGGTGGGAGGACATGTGTTTTGTCAGCCCTACGGGTTGGAATACATGTGTTTTGTCAGCCCTACAGGTGGGAATACATGTGTTTTGTCAGCCGTACAGGTGGGAATACATGTGTTTTGTCAGCCCTACAGGTGGGAATACATGTATTTTGTCAGCCCTACAGGTGGGAGGACATGTGTCTGATCAGCCCTATAGGTGTGAGGACATGTTTTTTATCAGCCCTATAGGTGGGAGGACATGTTTTTTGTCAGCCCTTTTGGTGGGAGGACATGTGTCTGATCAGCCCTATAGGTGGGAGGACATGAGTTGTATCAGCCCTATAGGTGGGAGGACATGTTTTTTATCAGCCCTATAGGTGGGAGGACATGTGTTTTGTCAGCCCTATAGGTGGGAATACATTTGTTTTGTCAGCCCTATAGGTGGGAGGACATGTGTTTTATCAGCCCTATAGGTGGGAATACATGTGTTTTGTCAGCCCTATAGGTGGGAATACCCTTGTTTTGTCAGCCCTACAGGTGGGAGGACATGTGTTTAGTCAGCCCTATAGCTGGGAGGACATGTGTTTTGTCAGCCCTATCGGTGGGAATACATGTGTTTTGTCAGCCCTATAGGTGGGAGGACATGTGTTTTGTGAGCTCCATAGGTTAGAGGACACGTTTTTGATAGCACTATAGGTGGGAGGACACGTGTTTTGTCAGCTCTATAGGTGGGAGGACACGTGTTTTGTCAGCTCTGTAGGTTAGAGGACACGTTTTTGATAGCACTATAGGTGGGAGGATACGTGTTTTTTAACCATATAGGTGGGGGGACACGTGTTTTGTCTGCCTTATAGCTGGAAGGACACGTGTTTTGTTATCCCTACAGGTGGGGGGACACGTGGTTTTTTCAGCCCCCAAGATTGTAGGACACGTGTTTTGTCAGCCCCCACTTGTGTGTTGTTTGGGTCCGTATAGGTCTGAGGACAGGTGTTTTGTCAGCCCTATGGGTAGGAAAACACGTTTTTTGTTATCCCTATAGGTGGGAGGACACGTGTTTTGTCAGCCCTATAGTTAGGAGGACATGTGTTTTGTCAGCCCTATATTTGGGAGGGTACGTGTTTTGTCAGCCCCTACTTTTATTTTGTTTGGGTCCGTATAGATATGAGGACACGTGTTTATAGGCCTCTTTGCATGTTTGGTTGGCAGCATTGATAACATAAGTTCGACATAAGCTCAGCATAAGCTCGACATGAGCTCTTGCAGAGATACGTCGTCACAAGATTGCAGGGCACGTGTCATATTGACCAAGAACCCGCGGGGAACATCATGGACTTTGCTATAATAATGTAAAACGGTAACACCATATTGATTTGAATGCTGTCGTAACTAGGCTGTCAAATAAGCATATAAAACTTGATGGGAGATGAGATGTTCTCATGGGACCAGTCTCCATCAGCACTTGGACGTACATAAGAATCGACGATCGCAGTTCATCCTTCGGCATATGAACTATGAATGTTAACGTGAAACGTAAACGAGATAATTAAAGTGTGTTTCAAATGTTAAACTGAAAAAATTGTTCTAACTCTCAAACTGAAACAATACCGTTTGTGGGCCAACTAGTAACCTAAAACAAGTAAGTGTGTGATCCACCTATCAAACAGAAACAATGAAGTGCGTGTTCCAACTGTAAGACTGAAACATAGACTAGCATCTACCGGGTAGTCATGACATGTGTATTTCAACTGTCCAACTGAAACAATGAAGCGTGTGTTCCAACTGTCAAGCTGACAGCCAAATAGGGTAAGAATCGATAAAGATATGTCTTCACAAATAGCTAATAGCCTACGACAGGTAAGTAATGTAAGAATCGATAAAGATATGTCTTCACAAATAGCTAATAGCCTACGACAGGTAAGTAATGTATGAATCGATAAAGATATGTCTTCACAAATAGCTAATAGCCTACGACAGGTAAGTAATGTAAGAATCGATAAAGATATATCTTCACAGATAGCTATTAGCCTACGACAGGTAAGTGAGGTTAGAGCGGATAAAGATATATCTTCACAGATAGCTATTAGCCTACGACAGGTAAGTGAGGTTAGAGCGGATAAAGATCTATCTTCACAGATAGCGAATAGCCTACGACAGGTAAGTAAGGTTAGAGCGGATAAAGATATATCTTCACAGATAGCTAAAAGCCTATGACAGGTAAGGAAGGTAAGAACGGATAAAGATCTATCTTCACAGATAGCTAAAAGCCTATGACAGGTAAGTAAGGTAAGAGTGGATAAAGATGCAATACATTTCAGACCAAGTTGTTTGAAGTGCTGGGGATGCGGACGTCGCAGCAGCTGCACGAACGCCGTCGCCTTTCACACGTCGGAGAGGCCCCTTTCCAATCCACCACCCCTCCTCCATACACCCCCACCCCTTCTATCCCCAATCTCCCATCCCCTCAGCCTGTCACCCCGACACCGACCTTCCTCACCTCTCCATGTAGCAGCTGCACGAACGTCGACACCCTTCACACCCCGAGGACACCATGTTACAACATACCCTTCATCCTTGCAAGCCCATCCAATCCCTCCACAACCCGCCATCAAGGTACCACCGATCAACTGAGATGATGGTAGTGATGGGATCGGGAATAAAGTTGAGGAGGTACTGAAGGAGTTGACGGAGGTATAAAGTTGAGGAGGTAGTGATGGAGTTTGCGGAGGTATAAAGTTGGGGAGGTAGTGATGGGGTCGTGAATAAAGTTGGGGAGGTACTGATGGCGTCGGCGGAGGTATAAAGTTGAGGAGGTAGTGATGGAGTTGGCGGAGGTATAAAGTTGGGGAGGTAGTGATGGGGTCGGGAATAAAGTTGGGGAGGTACTGATGGCGTCGACGGGGGAATAAAGTTGAAGAGGTAGTGATGGAGTCGGCGGAGGTATAAAGTTGGGGAGGTAGTGATGGAGTCGGGGGAATAGAGTTGAGGAGGTAGTGATGGAGTTGGCGGAGGTATAAAGTTGGGGAGGTAGTGATTGGGTCGGGAATAAAGTTGGGGAGGTACTGATGGCGTCGGCGGGGGAATAAAGTTGAGGAGGTAGTGATGGAGTTGGCGGAGGTATAAAGTCGGGGAGGTAGTGATGGAGTTGACGGAGGTATAAAGTTGGGGAGGCAGTGATGGGGTTCTGAATTAAGTTGGGGAGGTAGTGATGGCGTCGGCGGGGGAATAAAGTTGAGGAAGTAGTTATGGAGTTGGCGGAGGTATAAAGTTGGGGAGGTAGTGATGGAGTCGGGGGAATAGAGTGGGGGGGTAGTGATGGAGTTGGCGGAGGTATAAAGTTGGGGAGGTAGTGATGGAGTCGGGTGAATAAAGTTGGGGAGGTACTGATGGCGTCGACGGGGGAATAAAGTTGAGGAGGTAGTGATGGAGTTGACGGAGGTATAAAGTTTGGGAGGTAGTGATGAAGTTGGCGGAGGTACAATGTTTGGGAGGTAGTGATGGTGTTGACGGAGGTATAAAGTTGAGGAGGTAGTGATGGTGTTGACGGAGCTATAAAGTTGAGGAGGTAGTAATGGAGTTGACGGAGGTATAAAGTTGGGGAGGCAGTGATGGGGTTCTGAATTAAGTTGGGGAGGTAGTGATGGCGTCGGCGGGGGAATAAAGTTGAGGAAGTAGTTATGGAGTTGGCGGAGGTATAAAGTTGGGGAGGTAGTGATGGAGTTGACGGAGGTATAAAGTTGGGGAGGTAGTGATGGAGTCGGGTGAATAAAGTTGGGGAGGTACTGATGGCGTCGACGGGGGAATAAAGTTGAGGAGGTAGTGATGGAGTTGACGGAGGTATAAAGTTTGGGAGGTAGTGATGAAGTTGGCGGAGGTACAATGTTTGGGAGGTAGTGATGGTGTTGACGGAGGTATAAAGTTGAGGAGGTAGTTATGGAGTTGACAGAGCTATAAAGTTGAGGAGGTAGTAATGGAGTTGACGGAGGTATAAAGTTGGGGAGGCAGTGATGGGGTTCTGAATTAAGTTGGGGAGGTAGTGATGGCGTCGGCGGGGGAATAAAGTTGAGGAGGTAGTGATGGAGTCGGCGGAGGTATAAAGTTGAGGAGGTAGTGATGGAGTTGACGGAGGTATAAAGTTGGGGAGGTAGTAATGGAGTTGACGGAGGTATAAAGTTGGGGAGGTAGTGATGGGGTCGTGAATAAAGTTGGGGAGGTACTGATGGCGTCGACGGGGGAATAAAGTTGAGGAGGTAGTGATGAAGTCGGCGGAGGTATAAAGTTGGGGAGGTAGTGATGGAGTCGGGGGAATAGAGTTGAGGAGGAAGTGATGGAGTTGGCGGAGGTATAAAGTTGAGGATGTAGTGATGGAGTCGGGGGAATAGAGTTGAGGAGGTAGTGATGGAGTTGACGGAGGTATAAAGTTTGGAAGATAGTGATGGAGTTGGCGGAGGTACAATGTTTGGGAGGTAGTGATGGTGTTGGCGGAGGTATAAAGTTGAGGAGGTAGTGATGGAGTTGACGGAGGTATAAAGTTTGGGAGGTAGTGATGGAGTTGGCGGAGGTACAATGTTTGGGAGGTAGTGATGGAGTTGGCGGAGGTACAATGTTTGGGAGGTAGTGATGGTGTTGACGGAGGTATAAAGTTGAGGAGGTAGTGATGGAGTTGACGGAGGTATAAAGTTGAGGAGGTAGTGATGGAGTTGACGGATTTATAAAGTTGAGGAGGTAGTGATGGAGTTGACGGAGGTATAAAGTTGAGGAGGTAGTGATGGAGTTGGCGGAGGTATAAAGTTGGGGAGGTAGTGATGGGGTCGGGAATAAAGTTGGGGAGGTACTGATGGCGTCGACGGGGGAATAAAGTTGAGGAGGTAGTGATGGAGTCGGCGGAGGTATAAAGTTGGGGAGGTAGTGATGGAGTCGGGGGAATAGAGTTGAGGAGGTAGTGATGGAGATGGCGGAGGTATAAAGTTGGGGAGGTAGTGATTGGGTCGGGAATAAAGTTGGGGAGGTACTGATGGCGTCGGCGGGGGAATAAAGTTGAGGAGGTAGTGATGGAGTTGACGGAGGTATAAAGTTGAGGAGGTAGTAATGGAGTTGACGGAGGTATAAAGTTGAGGAGGTAGTGATGGAGTTGACGGAGGTATAAAGTTGGGGAGGTAGTGATGGAGTTGGCGGAGGTATAAAGTTGGGGAGGTAGTGATGGAGATGGCGGAGGTATAAAGTTGAGGAGGTAGTGATGGAGTTGGCGGAGGTATAAAGTTGGGGAGGTAGTGATGGAGATGGCGGAGGTATAAAGTTGAGGAGGTAGTGATGGAGTTGGCGGAGGTATAAAGTTGAGGAGGTAGTGATGGAGATGGCGGAGGTATAAAGTTGGGGAGGTAGTGATGGAGTCGGGTGAATAAAGTTGGGGAGGTACTGATGGCGTCGGCGGGGGAATAAAGTTGAGGAGGTAGTGATGGAGTTGGCGGAGGTATAAAGTCGGGGAGGCAGTGATAGGGTTCTGAATTAAGTTGGGGAGGTAGTGATGGCGTCGGCGGGGGAATAAAGTTGAGGAGGTAGTGATGGAGTCGGCGGAGGTATAAAGTTGGGGAGGTAGTGATGGAGTTGACGGAGGTATAAAGTTGGGGAGGTAGTAATGGAGTTGACGGAGGTATAAAGTTGGGGAGGTAGTGATGGAGTCGTGAATAAAGTTGGGGAGGTACTGATGGCGTCGACGGGGGAATAAAGTTGAGGAGGTAGTGATGAAGTCGGCGGAGGTATAAAGTTGGGGAGGTAGTGATGGAGTCGGGGGAATAGAGTTGAGGAGGTAGTGATGGAGTTGACGGAGGTATAAAGTTGGGGAGGTAGTGATGGAGTTGGCGGAGGTATAAAGTTTGGAAGATAGTGATGGAGTTGGCGGAGGTACAATGTTTGGGAGGTAGTGATGGTGTTGACGGAGGTATAAAGTTGAGGAGGTAGTTATGGAGTTGACGGAGGTATAAAGTTGAGGAGGTAGTAATGGAGTTGACGGAGGTATAAAGTTGAGGAAGTAGTGATGGAGTTGACGGAGGTATAAAGTTGAGGAGGTAGTGATGGAGTTGGCGGAGGTATAAAGTTGGGGAGGTAGTGATGGGGTCGGGAATAAAGTTGGGGAGGTACTGATGGCGTCGACGGGGGAATAAAGTTGAGGAGGTAGTGATGGAGTCGGCGGAGGTATAAAGTTGGGGAGGTAGTGATGGAGTCGGGGGAATAGAGTTGAGGAGGTAGTGATGGAGATGGCGGAGGTATAATGTTGGGGAGGTAGTGATTGGGTCGGGAATAAAGTTGGGGAGGTACTGATGGCGTCGGCGGGGGAATAAAGTTGAGGAGGTAGTGATGGAGTTGACGGAGGTATAAAGTCGGGGAGGTAGTGATGGAGTTGACGGAGGTATAAAGTTGGGGAGGTAGTGATGGAGTTGACGGAGGTATAAAGTTGAGGAGGTAGTGATGGAGTTGGCGGATTTATAAAGTTGGGGAGGTAGTGATGGAGTTGACGGATTTATAAAGTTGGGGAGGTAGTGATGGTGTTGACGGAGGTATAAAGTTGAGGAGGTAGTGATGGAGTTGGCGGAGGTATAAAGTTGGGGAGGTAGTGATGGGGTCGGGAATAAAGTTGGGGAGGTACTGATGGCGTCGACGGGGGAATAAAGTTGAGGAGGTAGTGATGGAGTCGGCGGAGGTATAAAGTTGGGGAGGTAGTGATGGAGTCGGGGGAATAGAGTTGAGGAGGTAGTGATGGAGTTGGCGGAGGTATAAAGTTGGGGAGGTAGTGATGGAGTCGGGTGAATAAAGTTGGGGAGGTACTGATGGCGTCGGCGGGGGAATAAAGTTGAGGAGGTAGTGATGGAGTTGGCGGAGGTATAAAGTCGGGGAGGTAGTGATGGAGTCCAGGGGAATAAAGTTGGGAGGTACTGATGGGGTCGGGGGAATAAAGTTGGGGTTGAAGTGATGGAGTCGGTGGAATAATGCAGGGGTGGTAGTGATGGAGTCTGGTGAATAAAGTTTGGGTGGAAGTGATGGTGTCAGGTGAATAAAGTTGGGGTGGAAGTGATGGAGTCGGGGGAATATAGTTTTGGTGGTAGTGATTGAGTCGGTTGAACATAGTTGGGTTGGAAGTGATGGAGTCGGGGGAATATAGTTGGGGAGCTAGTGATGGAGTCGGTGGAATAATTCAGGGGTGGTAGTGATGGAGTCGGATGAATAAAGTTTGGGTGGAAGTGATGGTGTCGGGTGAATAAAGTTGGGGTGGTAGTGATGGAGTCGGGGGAATAGGGTTGGGGTGGTAGTGATGGAGTCGGGGGAATATAGTTGGGGTGGAAGTGATGGAGTCGAGTGAATAAAGTTCGGGAGGTAGTAATGGATTCGAGGGGAATAAAGTTGGGAGGTAGTGATGGGGTCGGGGGAATAAAGTTGGGGTTGAAGTGAAGGAGTCGAGGGGAATAAAGTTGGGGTGGAAGTGATGGAGTCGGGGGAATATAGTTGGGGTGGTAGTTATGGGGTCGGGGGAATAAAGTTGGGGTGGTATTGATGGGGTCGGGGGAATAATGTTGAGGAGGTAGTGATGGAGTCAGGGGAATAAAGTTGGGGTGGTATTGATGGAGTCGGGTGAATAAAGTTCGGGAGGTAGTGATGGAGTCGAGGGGAATAAAGTTGGGAGGTAGTGAAGGGGTCGGGGGAATAAAGTTGGGGTTGAAGTTATGGAGTCGGCGGAATAAAGTTGGGATGGAAGTGATGGAGTCGGGGGAATAAATTTGGGGTGGTAGTGATGGGGTCGGGGGAATGAAGTTTGGGTGGAAGTGATGGAGTAGGGGGAATGTAGTTGGGGTGGTAGTGATGGAGTCGGGGGAATAATTCAGGGATGGTAGTGATGGAGTCTGGTGAATAAAGTTGGGGTGGAAGTGATGGAGTCGGGGGAATATAGTTTGGGTGGTAATGATAGAGTCGGTTGAATATAGTTGGGGTGGAAGTGATGGAGTCGGGGGAATATAGTTGGGGTGTTAGTGATGGAGTCGGGGGAATAACTCAGGGGTGGTAGTGATGAAGTCTGGTGAATAAATTTGGGTGGAAGTGATGATGTCGGGTGAATAAAGTTGGGAAGGAAGTGTTGGAGTCTGGTGAATATAGTTTGGGTGTTAGTGATGGAGTCGCTTGAATATAGTTGGGGTGGAAGTGATTGAGTCGGGGGAATATAGTTGGGGTGGTAGTCATGGAGTCGGGGGAATAATTCAGGGGGGGTAGTAATGGAGTCTGGTGAATAAAGTTTGGGTGGAAGTGATGGTGTCGGGTGAATATAGTTGGGGTGGTAGTGATGGGGTCGGGGGAATAAAGTTGAGGTTGAAGTGATGGAGTCGGGGGAATATAGTTGGGGTGGTAGTGATGGGGTCGGGGGAATAAAGTTGGGGTGGTATTGATGGGGTCGGGGGTATAATGTTGAGGAGGTAGTGATGGAGTCGGGGGAATAGAGTTGGGGTGGTAGTGATGGAGCCGGGGGGATAAAGTTGGGGTAATAGTGATGGAGTCGGGTGAATAAAGTTGGGAGGTAGTAATGGAGTCGGGGGAATAAAGTTGGGGTGGAAGTGATGGAGTCGGGGGAATATAGTTGGGGTGGTAGTGATGGAGTCGGGGAATAATTCAGGGGTTGAAGTGATGGAGTCGGGGGAATATAGTTTTGGTGGAAGTGATGGTGTCGGGTGAATAAAGTTGGGGTGGAAGTGATGGAGTCGGGGGAATATAGTTTGGGTGGTAATGATGGAGTCGCTTGAATATAGTTGGGGTGGAAGTGATGGAGTCGGGGGAATAAGTTTGGGTGGTAGTGATGGAGTCGGGGGAATAAAGTTGGGGTGGTAGTGATGGAGTCGGGGGGATAAAGTTGGGGTAGTAGTGATGGAGTCGGGTGAATAAAGTTCGGGAGGTAGTGATGGAGTCGAGGGGAATAAAGTTGGGAGGTACTAATGGGGTCGGGGGAATAAAGTTGGGGTTGAAGTGATGGAGTCGGGGGAATAAAGTTCGGGAGGTAGTAATGGAGTCGGGGGAATATAGTTTGGGTGGAAGTGATGGAGTCGGGGGAATATAGTTTGGGTGGTAGTGATTGAGTCGGGGGAATAATTCAGGGGTGGTAGTGATGGAGTCTGGTGAATAAAGTTTGGGTGGAAGTGATGGTGTCGGGGGAATAAAATTGGTGTGGAAGTGATGGAGTCGGGTGAATAAAGTCGAGGCTGTAGTGATGGAGTCGGGTGAATAAAGTTCGGGAGGTAGTGATTGAGTCGGGTGAATAAAGTTGGGAGGTAGTGGTGGGTCGGGGGAATAAAGTTGGGGTTGAAGTAATGGAGTCGGGGGAATAAATTTGGGATGGAAGTGATAGAGTCGGGGGAATAAGTTGGGGTGGTAGTGATGGAGTCGGGTGAATAATTCAGGGGTGGTAGTGATGGAGTCTGGTGAATATAGTTTGGGTGGAAATGATGGTGTCGGGTGAATATAGTTGGGGTGGAAGTGATGGAGTCGGGGGAATATAGTTGGGGTGGTAGTGATGGGGTCGGGGGAATAAAGTTTGGGTGGTATTGATGGGGTCGGGGGAATAATGTTGAGGAGGTAGTGATGGTGTCGGGGGAATAGAGTTGGGGTGGTAGTGATGGAGTCGGGGGAATAAAGTTGGGGAGGTAGTGATGGAGTCGGGTGAATAAAGTTCGGGAGGTAGTGATGGACTCAAGGGGAATATAGTTGGGGTGGTAGTGATGGGGTCGGGGGAATAAAGTTTGGGTGGTAGTGATGGTGTCGGGGTAAAAAAGTTTGGGTGGAAGTGATGGAGTCGGGGGAATAAAGTTGGGGTGGTAGTGATGGAGTCGTGGATTAAAGTTGGGGTGGAAGTGATGGAGTCGGGGGAATAAATTGGGGGTGGTAGTGATGGAGTCGGGTGAATAAAGTTGGGGTGGTAGTGATGGAGTCGGCGGGGAAATAATTTTGGGGAGGTAGTGATGGAGTCGGGGGAATAGAGTTTGGAAGAAAGTGATGGGGTCGGCGGGGGAATAAAGTTGAGGAGGTAGTGATGGAGTCGGTTGAATAAAGTTGGGGTGGTAGTGATGGAGTCGGGGGAATAAAGTCGAGGAGGTAGTGATCGAGTCGGGGGAATAAAGTTGGGGAGGTAGAGTTTGGGTTTGCGGGGGAATAAAAGTTGGGAGGTAGTGATGGAGTCGGGTGAATAAAGTCGAGGCTGTAGTGATGGAGTCGGGTGAATAAAATTCGGGAGGTAGTGATTGAGTCGGGTGAATAAAGTTGGGAGGTAGTGATGGAGTCGGGTGAATAAAGTTGGGAGGTAGTGATGGAGTCGGGTGAATAAAGTCGAGGCTGTAGTGATGGAGTCGGGTGAATAAATTTCGGGAGGTAGTGATTGGGTCTGCGGGGGGATAAAGTTGGGGTGGTAGAGATGGAGTCGGGTAATAATGTGGGGGTCGTAGTGTTGGCGATGGGTCGCGGGAATGTAATTGGGGAGTAAGTGATTGGCATAGGGATTGCGTATCATTGATTAGATAACCCCTAACTATACAGAGAGAAGTCACAAACGTTTAGAATCGTCGCCACGTTTGTTTGCCCACCTCACTCCCACTTTACGTTGCAACAGAAGAGCATGTTGAGACCAAGGTACTACTTGCTGCATAGCACTACAACAGTGCGTTATGGTTAAGTGGAACCTCAGAACTGTTGACAATATCTCACTGGCTTTGATTCCATTCTTCTACAAACACGATATGTAATAGTCCAATTAGAATTCAGTCATTTCACATACTAACTGAAAAGCGAAGTCTCGCGATGACAATTGCTGGGTCCTGAATATGAATCTAACTTAACAGATGAAACATGCAGTACAAAGATCCACTATGTCAAACTAAATACGGTATTTAAGCATTGCAAGAACGCTTTGTGGATCGATTTATGTTGGAAAGACCCAACATTTTTTATCGATATAAAGCAGCCAACAGAGATCAAGCATCAATAGAAATACACGTATTTCCAATTGTATCTACGAACATCCTCGCAGTATACCTCTCTTTGTACGGATTTCTGTCCGCGTGTCGCATCGGCGCTATTATCTTTTGACTTGACTTCTTTGGTAATGTATTCACAAGCTCCATGAAAATACGTACAAAGCGTTAGGAGAAGGACAATTCCCACCTAGGACTATAGCCCCCCATGAAAAATATATTTTATTACGTTGTTTATGATTCCTTTATTCAGTTAATTATGCAAAAATTCAACAACGGGTTACCCTGGGGATAAAAGTCACAGTCAAAAGGTCAAAGGTTTCAGTGAAACTTGAACTGTCATAGGTACAACAGATAATACACACAGCTCAAAATCTGTGTAGTTGATGCTGTGTAGTTGATGCTGTGTAGTTGATGCTGTGTAGTTCATGCTGTGTAGTTCATGCTGTGTCTGTCACACACACACACACACACCTCCATCTCACCTCACCCAGTCAGTACAATCCGGCTCATTCCGTGAGGCGTGTTCACTGCTCTGTTTCAACACAGGGAAAGTATATAAAACCCACTAACCAACGTGCACGTGTTTCAACTACGAAATTTCATTAATCTCGACAATCAACCAGACCAAAGAATACCTCTTCACACTATTACAATTCTATATAGGATAAATAGCAACAAATCCACGTAAACTGCGACTACGTGTGTGCACCATCTTAATAAAGTAACCTCTCTTGCCCACGCAAGTGTAGATAGTGCTCAATATTTATTAAGCAAATCCAGAGGAAACGTCAGCTTACCTCTTTAATCAGACTACGCTGCCGACAATGTTCCCTGTACAGTGAAGAAGCGACACGTGGGGTTACTTATCACCTCGTCTCCCCGTGTCTTGGTGTAGACAGCAATCACCCTAAACAACCTGATGTTGTGGACACCGTTATCCTGGACCCGCCGCGACCCACTGATGAGGAAACAAGACGATCACACTCAGTCTAGACGGAATTAGACAGGGCAGGGACTCCAACGCGTGGCGGCGACTGGCTGAATTATTGGACATGCCACGATAATTATGACTTGTTGAAAACGAATGTTTGTATCAGCAGACTAAAAACATAGAACTACTTGAGAGAGTAGGAGACAATTGCGCAAAGTTAAACGAATGCGGATTTAAACAGCTTGAATATGGTTTTACTCAGGCGTTACTGTGTGTGTGATGTGTGGATATTTCAAGTGGAAACACGGAACGAGAACAATACCGTAATTAAGCAATAGTTGATGGTGACGCCCAACATTTTGTCACAGAAGACACTAACAGTAACGCTATATACATCTTGTCACAGAGGGCGGTGACTATAATCCCCTGAATGTTTTAACAGAAGACACTGACGGTAACGCCCTACATGTTACAGAACACGTTGACGGTAACGTCCTACATGTTGTTACAGAAGACACTGACAAGAACGCCAATTACATCTTATTACAGAAGACGGTGACTGTAATGCCCTACATGTTATTACAGATGACGCCGACGGTAACGCCAGACATGTTGTTACAGAAGACGTTGAAGGTAACACCCTTCATGTTGTTACAGAAGACACTGACGGTAACGCCCTACATGCTGTAACAGAAGACACTGACAGTTACGCCATATACATGTTGTTACAGAAGACACTGACGGTAACGCCCAACTTGTTGTTACAGTAAGCACTGACGGTAACGCCCGACATGTAGTTACAGAAGACACTGACGGTAACGCCATATACATCTTATTACAGAAGACGGTGACAGTAATGCCCTACATGTTGTTACAGAAGACGCTGACGGTAACGCCCTACATGTTACAGAAGACACTGACGGTAACGCTCCACATGTTGTTACAGAAGACGTTGACGGTAACGCCCTACACGTTAAAGAAGACGCTGCCGGTAACGCTAGACATGTTGTTACAGAAGATGTCGACGGTAACGCCAGACATGTTGTTACAGAAGACGTTGAAGGTAACACCCTTCATGTTGTTACAGAAGACACTGACGGTAACGCCCTACATGATGTGACAGAAGACACCGACGGTAACGCCCAACATATTGTTACAGAAGACGGTGACGGTAACGTCCAACATGTTGTTACAGAAAACACTGACGTAACGTCCGACATCTTGTTACAGAAGACACTTACGCTAACGCCCGACATGGAGTTACAGAAGACGCTGACGGTAACGCGCTACACGTTACCAAATTCACTGACGGTAACTTCCGACGTCTTGTTACAGAAGACACTGACAGTTACGCCATATACATTTTGTTACAGAAGACGTTGAGGGTAACGCCCAACTTGTTGTTACAGAAAGCACTGACGGTAACGCCCGACATGTTGTTACAGAAGACACTGACGGTAACGCCCAACATGTTGTTAGGTTACGCTCAACATGTTGTTACAGAAGACACTGACGGTAACGCCCAACATGTTGTTAGGTTACGCTCAACATGTTGTTACAGAAGACACTGACGGTAACGCCCAACATGCTGTTACAGAAGACACTGACGGTAACGCCCCACATGCTGTTACAGAAGACACTGACGGTAACGCCCCACATGTTGTTACAGAAGACACTGACCGTAACGCCATACGTGATGTTACAGAAGACGGTGACTGTAATGTCCTACATGTTGTTACAAGAGACATTGACGGTAACGCCCCACATGTTGTTAGGGAAGGCATTGACGGTAACGCCCGACATCTTGTTACAGAAGACACTGACGGCAACACCCTACATGTTGTTACAGAAGACACTGACGGTAACGCCTTACATTTTGTTTCAGAAGACGCTTACGGTAATGCCATACATGTTACATAAGACCTTGACGGTAACGCCCCACATGTTACAGAAGACACTGGAGGATTTTTTAACTTTTGAAAACCAGATGTAGCTAAGTCCTCAAAAGATCTTTTGACCAAACAGGTCGTCATTAAAGAATAACTTGTATAAAAAAAGGATAATTTAGATAATTTCCAGGAGCTTAGTTTGTCTCCAGACATGTCATTCTCACTTTAGCGATGTTTGAAGGATGGAGTCCTCAAAGTTCCCCATGTACCATGAAGTTTGGGTACTTTTTCATAAGTTGAACGATAAAAAGATATTTTAGAAAACGTAAATGGTCACCTTTTAGTGTTGACTTCGCAGAAAAGCTAGTCTAACCATGCTGTCATAAAGCCGCAGTTGACATTTAAGTGATAAATAGATTTCCGTCCTTGGCTTAAAGCATAGAACATAGCTTTAGTTGCTTGTTCTATTAACTTTTTCCTTGTGAATGTGAATTTTAACGTTTGTTGAAAAGTAACACCAAGCTTAAGGTAGTTATAGGAATCAACTTTTTCCAAACCACTATGATCACTTTTGATATTATGTTTATATTTAGTATTTGATCCACCAAATATTAATATTTTAGTCTTCTTAGTATTAATCTTAAGCCTCCAATGTATACAATAGCCACGAAATGAGTATATGTTTTAGACTATAAGCATTTCTAGCCAATATCTTTTGCGTACAGTAAAACAAATATTGTGATAATATTTTCGATTCGAACATAGAACTCATCCGGTTTCAGTTGGTACCTTTGTACAGAAGTGCCGCCTCGAGGTCGTTTTAAAATATTGCAAACAAGACAGGCGACACGGTTTTTCTTGTCTTACTCCAGATGTACATGTACATGAAATGAAACTTGTCAAATTACCATTGCGGGAAACACATGATTTGATATTAATGTACATATTATAAATAACGTTAAAACAGTTTCCAGATATGTTATTTTGTAATAGTTGTTGCCAAAGTATTCATTAATTATATTATCAAGACTAGCAGCTTTGTTAGGTTTCAAATTGTGAAAACAGTTTATGATTTCACCTCTCGTTATACCTGGTCCTGCATTTAGTACTGTGCTTTCTTCAATGTTCACTTCACGTAGATTATCTATATCGAGGACATCAACTGTCGAAACTTCATTTAAAGATATATAAATGCTGAATAAAGATTCACTATGTGGTAGGTTTTCATCGCCAAACCGCCTTTGCTTCAGATGAACGAAGCTCGTTTCTTTCAACAATACATAATTTGTCTTGAAGTCTTTTTAAATGCATATTTGAAAAAAACGTATTGATGCATATCCAGTAGATAATGTTACAGGAACAAATTCACCCGAGCGTGGTGATTGGTAAGACAAATGGGGATTGAGGGGTGCATCTCACATATGACACAGTTGATTGTGAACGGTGCAATCACACCTCGGGTTTAAGCTGCATATCTGCTGTACAGATGTCTCCTCCTATATCGTTAGCGAGAGGTAGCACGGCGCGTACTTTGTCGCCTCACGGTAAAACAGCACAAATAAGCAGACTTACGGAGGAGAGAAGGTAACCCCTTCTGAAGCGACTGCCATCAATTCATCACGACCATCTAACTGATGGAATTAACCAATAGACAGCTGCCTCGCACCACTTCGGACCCTGGCGCGTGTTTGCTGTGTAGAAAGATGTCAGTTTAATCTCCCCATGCGTCTTGCTCTGCCCGGGTCGACCGATGGGACTTATGCTATGAAAATACAAGCGCCATACATTCGTCACGCTTGCAGTACTGAATATTGCTTGAAACAGAACAGATAATCCTGGGATACACGATGACCTGAGCATATCAGATGATAATAGAGAGCCTGGGAATGATAGGAGGTAACTCGCAACCTCGCAACCTGGGTATGGTTGGAGATACTAGACAACTAGAGCAAACGTTAAAAAATTTGGACTTGTTTCCCTGCCTGGCGCATTAAGGAGATAAAACAAGAAATGGTCTGCACGGAGTCAGTATACTGTGTCTGGGTGTTAAACTGTGGCATGGTATTTCAATGGGCTAGCACTGTAAATCACCATCAGCCCGGAAAAGTACAAGCAGCCACACACACGTGCATGCACGTCGCTATATAAGTGCAATAATTCTGGACGCCACGTTAAACCCCCACAATATAACAGACACCCTGTGTGCTAGAGGACAACATGCAACCTTGGTGTGCAAGAAGATAACAGACACAATTGGTGTGCTAGAAGATAACAGACAACCTTGGTGTGCAAGAAGATAACAGACAACCTTGGTGTGCAAGAAGACAACAGGCAACCTTAAAAGCTTGGTGTGTTAGAAGGTAACAGGCAACCTTGGTGTGTTAGAAGACAACAGGCAACCTTGGTACCGGTGTGCTAGAAGATAACAGACAACCTTGGTGTGCAAGAAGATAACAGGCAACCTAGGTGTGTTAGAAGATAACAGACAACCTTAGTGTGTTAGAAGATAACAGGCAACCTTGATGTGAACGAAGATAACAGACAACCTTGATGTGAAAGAAGATAACAGACAACCTTGATGTGAAAGAAGACAACAGACAACCTTGGTGTGCTAGAAGACAACAGACAACATTGGTCTGCTAGAAGATAACAGACAGCCTTGGTGTGCTAGAAGACAACAAGCAGCCTTGGTGTGCTCGAAGATAACAGACAACCCGGGTATGGTTGGAGATTATAGGTAACCTGCATATAATACGATAGATGATAGAACATACTACGCAATCTCAGGAAATCAGAGACTTTATAAAAGACAACAGACAACACTGGTGTGCTAGAAGATAACAGACAACATTGGTGTGCTAGAAGATAACAGACAACCTTGGTGTGCTAGAAGATAACAGACAACATCGGTGTGCTAGAAGACAACAGACAACACTGGTGTGCTAGAAGATAACAGGCAACCTTGGTGTGCTTGAAGACAACAGACAACATTGATGTGCTAGAAGACAACAGACAACATTTGTGTGCAAGAAGACAACAGACAACCTTGGTGTGTTAGAAGATAACAGACAACCTTGGTGTGCAAGAAGATAACAGACAACCTTGGTGTGCAAGAAGACAACAGACAACCTTGGTGTGCTAGAAGACAACAGACAACCTTGGTGTGCAAGAAGACAACAGTCAACCTTGGTGTGTTAGAAGATAACAGACAACCTTGGTGTGTTAGAAGATAACAGACAACCTTGGTGTGCAAGAAGACAACAGACAACCTTGGTGTGCTAGAAGACAACAGACAACCTTGGTGTGCAAGAAGACAACAGACAACCTTGGTGTGTTAGAAGATAACAGACAACTTTGGTGTGCTCGAAGATAATAGACAACCCGGGTATGGTTGGAGATTATAGGCAACCTGGATATAATACGATAGATGATAGAATATACTACGCAATCTCAGGAAATCAGAGACTTTATAAAGTTGACATCTTACGAGGCTCACTGTGTCTGAGAAGAAAGGCTTGAATAGTGTACAAGTCCTACACGTCGTTGTGATTAATGCACCATGTCAGTGTTGATTCTACAAGCTCGGGTAGCCTTTACCTCTCTAGAACACATTATCTTACAACGGATTAAGCTTGATGAAATTCATGCCAATAAAATACGTTTGAATGACACGTGTGAATCTTGATTACGGAGTTCATACTCTGAAAGTCAAACCCACGCAATTGAAAACGACACGAAAAACCTTTAAAAAGGCATACGGGAAATTGTTAGAAATTTCCACTGGGATAGAAATGGCTCTAATGGTGTTTTTGTAATTTACTTTCGAATTCGTTGTTCCAACAAATCCTTTAACGTCGCCCTACGGACGGCCATTGTCCATACTATTAGAAAATGGCATATTTCCGTAATGATATTGATTCTCATCATCATTGTGTTATGTTTCCAAAGCGGTTTCCAACTTGTTTTATGAATCAATTTGTTAACTTTTCAAGATTTTATTGAAAACTACCCCGTTATTTATGCTGCTGGTACCCCGGGGAACGCTGCCAGTAGTGTTCTGGCAGACACTTCAGCAGGGCATCATGGGTCCATGGGAAATTTAAAAGAAATCGATTTTGTCATTGAAGTGATGATTCATATTTGTAACCGGGGTTGGAATGATCCTGCGGTTACTTAATGTTACATATCCATCTACGCAGTTTGAAAATCAATACATTCGCTTCTTGCAATCCTCTTTTGAAGAAGGGTCGGTGGGGGTGCCTAATGAATAAAGCGTTCTCTTGTCACGCCGAAGACACGGGCTCGATTGCCCACTGAAAGCGGATTAAAAAATGCTCACTCTTTAGTAGCAGTATTTTGCGGATGGTTCACGAAAACAGGCAGAACAGGCATGTTCATCATTAAAAAGAGGTAGAATGTCGCTCATGAATGAAGTAGAACGATGATCATGAAAGGGATTGGAGTTGTAATGTTAATCATTAAAAAGAGGTAGAGTGGTATTTCGACCATGAAAACAAGTGGAGGGGTAAATGTTGACTATGAATGAAATACAATGTTGATTGGAGTGGTAATGGCGATCGTAAAAACAAGTGGAGTGGTAATGGCGATCGTGAAACCATGTAGAGTGGTAATGGCGATCGTGAAACAAGTGGAGTGGTAATGGCGATCGTGAAACCATGTAGAATGGTATTGGCGATCGTGAAAACAAGTGGAGTGGTAATGGCGATCGTGAAAACAAGTGGAGTGGTAATGGCGATCGCCAAGGCTCGCTAAATACACTGTTTATTCCTAATGCAGGATATTTACCATCCCCAAACACACTCGCGTGATAACCTCTATATATACGTCAGATAATACTTGTAAAGGTGTGTTGGGGCGGGGGTTATATAGTAGTGACTATTGAAAGGAAGGATC